CCCCCCCCCCCCCCCCCCCCCCCCACATATGTGTTATGTGTTATGTACAGACTTTAATCAAGCTTGACCACTATTAAATAAATAATTAGCTGACCTATATAATTAATAATTAAGGCGAGGTCACGACCTGGCAAGAGTTACGCTATTATCTCAGAGGACGTGACATTGCCGGTAGGACATCGAAAATATAGATCTTACGAAACGTCAAACTTGGCACACGACACTGATTCGAATGGCAGACGATAGTTTCGATTGGTTAGGTTGCTATTGGCTAATCAAATTTTAAATATTTTTGCAAAATCGGGCAGTTATTGGACCAATGCCAAAACTTATTTTGAAGAGACAGTCTCGTGTCAAGGGAAAAGGTATATTGAGACAACTCCAAAAAGGACAGAGTCAATGAGCGCAGACCCTTTTGAAAGCACGTTGAGTTTCAACGCGGACTTCACAGAGAGCGCATACAGTATGGGTATGAGCTTTGAGTTGTTCTACTGACGCAATCATATCACATGAGTGCAACTGAAGGCAAAGCAATGCATAATAGATAAAAAAAAACCTTTAACGGTGAATACAACTGTCCAAAAGGCAACGATATGCTATAGATAACGGCATTGGTCAAATAAAACTTCTATGGCACTGGGCACAATTCACTTGCTAGTCATATTCACAATATCAAGCTATTACGAACTTCTTCTTATACCTTGACAGCAATAGCCACCTTTGTATCACAGAAGTGTGTAAATGCAGCGTTGTGGTTGGTATGTACGTCAGCGAATACAGCCAATCAGAGTCCTCGACAGAAATTCTGTAAACAATAAACCATAATACTGGCTGTATTCGTAGGCGTACAATTCAATCAAATCACTGCATTTTGTGATGCAAGAAAGGTGACTATTGCAGTCAAGGTATAAGTACGCAGTTCATAATAGCTTGACATTATGAAGACGCTTGCTAGTTGGACATGATTTTTGTCTACAATTGTTATTGTAGGATTTGACCTGGTCTTCAATGATCAATAACAATTATTGTTTGTTAGTTTGTAGGCCTTATTATCGACTAACTAGCTGACACATTAACATCATTGTCCAGTCTTTGTCTCTCGATTTCTTTCTATTCAATAACAATTAGAAGTAAGTAAGTTAATGCCGTTGTCCTCGTGAAATTCCAAACTGTTTTGATCGTTGAAAATGTTTGTTTATGCTGTTGTCCTAGTAAAATTCCAAACTGTTTTGAACTTTGAAAATGTTTGTTTATGCTGTTGTCCTAGTAAAATTCCAAACTGTTTTGATCGTTGAAAATGTTTGTTAATTCCGTTGTCCTAGTGAAATTCCAAACTGTTTTGATCGTTGAAAATGTTTGTTTATGCTGTTGTCCTAGTAAAATTCCAAACTGTTTTGATCGTTGGAAAGGTATGTTAATGCCGCTGTCCTAGTGAAATTCCAAACTGTTTTAAACTTTGAAAATGTTTGTTTATGCTGTTGTCCTAGTAAAATTCCAAACTGTTTTGATCGTTGGAAAGGTATGTTAATGTCATTGTCCTAGTGAAATTCTAAACTGTTTTAAACTTTGAAAATCTTTGTTTATGCCGTTGTCCTAGTGAAATTCCAAACTGTTTGATCATTGAAAATGTATGTTAATGCCCCCCTCTCCTAGTGAAATTCCAAAACTGTTTTTTATCGTTGGAAAGGTATGTTTATGCCGCTGTCCTAGTGAAATTGAAAAAAATAAATCTTTTTGGTTTGGTTTGGTAGCAATTTGTAAATTTGGAGTGGAATAACAGGTTCTAAATTGCAGGACTATCGATCTTCAAGAGAGCAAGGGTTACATATCATAAAACCTACTCGTAATCATTTGATAAATCAAACTGACAAAACTTTTACCCTATCGCAACAGCTACCTTGTTGAATGTCGTTCTCCGGAAAAACAGTAACCGCAACTGCAACCGTAACACGTAATGTCTTCGGAAGGGTTTATGTCTATGTATACTGATTGATAAACAGAAACAACAAAGTGTCAAATTACGTCAATCGCATCCTCTACGTCACTTCCGTTGTTACTTTCTAATTAACAACTGTGAAATTCCCAATAGAGTTTCCAATGGCTGCTGTCAACAAATAAATATCTCCGTGACGTCACTTCCGTTACATTTTTTATACAAAAAATAGCATGCGACTGTCAACAATTTTATAGCGAGCAATACCATACAGTGTGAAATGAAGGAAATTTTGCCATGACAGCGGCGTTAGTCTACTCTTTTTCGATATCAACTGCCGACGGATCTTTAACGCACACAGTCTGTAGTTATTAGTTTATTATCACACCCAAACGACTAGACGCTTTTTCCACGTCAGTTCATCGGGCCTGCATCACTGAAAAGGGCCATGCCAATTAGGAATCCTTGTGATATTTCCAATATAAATTCATACGAGAATTCATAGCCCAGATGAGGATATGAATTATGACCAGGCAACGAAACCGAATTTTTTTTCCGTCCGCATTTTGTTATATTATTTGAAATTGAGCCATTTATTTTCAATAATAGCCTAGACATTTTGGAATCGGCTTGAACGTTAATATTGTATTTATCAACTCTTTAAATCGAAACGTCTGCGATTTTCAAGAATTCAATAGAATATTAGAACCAGTTGGAAGCACTTCACACAGGCTTTACAGTGAACTTACTAGCAGTATATAGTAGTACCGTGCTAACCAATGGTTGACTAGAATCACAAAACAGCTGTTCTCAACGTAAACAAACGGGCAATGGCCAGTTATACTTTTAAAAAAAAGCCGTATCATTGCTTGGGGAAAAATTAAAAGTTTTGTTTAAAAATATTATTTCCTTACCTTATTTTGCAGTTATTTGTTTAAATAGTCCATACTGAATCGACGCATTATTTCCTTTTGCGTGTATGTTAAGTTTCGAGCAAGATTCCTCAGTCCTTTGTGTCTAAAAATAGCCCTGACTGTACAGTTAGTAGTGTGAACCTAACGGATTCTACGATTATACCACGCATTCGACGATATATCGTCAACAAAGCCAAGATAGCAGGAAAATCGACTCGCGTGTGTTAATGGTCGTATTTGATTGAAGTCAATCAATATTACCGGGCCGATTCTTCCCGAGATAGTAAATACTCACGCAAGGAATCAATGCGCATGACTGACACAAACTGATGTTATCTTCAATTTCCAGCTGTTGCCATATTGATTTGTCATCAAATTTTATTGCATTTTATTTTTTATCTTATATCATCTAGTTTGAATATGGTACACTGTTTCCTCTATCCATATTTCTATTGAAAAAGTTTTTTTTTGGGTTATTGTCCCTGAGTTTACATTTGATCATTGCATAAGAAATCTTTTGATGAAGGGTTCGAGAGTAATTGCCATTGGCTTTGCTTATACTCTTTTATAGTGTCCTTTTTGTTGCTAATAATAACAGATGTCGGTTAGCATAGAAACAGAAAAACCTTATGTGGATTTCTTGTGACGTCAGAAAAGAGAGGTGTGGACTTTTAAAACATAATCTCCAGCTCGCAATTCAAGATATTCCAATCGATGCTTTGAGAATTATTCCCCTTTGCATAAACAGAGTTTTGTTCATAGTTGTCCAAACGTTTCAAAATTTTCACGAAAAGCAACGAAATCGAAACCGACAGTAAGTTCTTAACGATTTTCTGGTTCGGTACATTTGCGAGAGAATTGATGCGTTTCTTAAACCATACAGAAATTTGAAGCGTCCTTAGGGTAGATTTGGAACATCAAAGGTCACAAAAGAGTGGAAAAACGAAATTTGCTCTCTGGTGATGATGACGTAATAGGGGTTCAGCCAAAGATCAACACCAAAGTAGTTTATACTTATGTAAAAGTTCAAAGTTCAAAGTTCAATTTTCAAGCCTTGGATGCAATCGTAACGCAGACGTAACATAGAGTCCGGATATGTTTACGTTAGGTCCTTGTGTTATCTAAAAATAGGCACTGAAGTTTAAGAGTGTCATTGATGACACCTCTTGCGTCATGGAATTACGTAGTATCGTAATCCCGTTGTTTACAATAAAGCGAATCAAACACGACCATTATAATCTTGGATATGACCTTTGACTTGCGAGGATGTTGGATCAATGAAGGCTACGTGGTTTATATTGATCTTTTATCGGAAAACATCGTCAACTGACACGGATTAGACTGAGATATTGGTCAACCAACGTATGGTTTATTCTCAGAGTGGACTGAAACTAGGTCTGTGAACAAAAAAAAAAAAAAAAGAAATGAATGGAGTTTTACGTCCTAATATTCTACGCCTAACAGGGCTAATGAATACGGAATACAGGGTACAGTGTGCAATGAGGGAAATTATGCCGATTTCTAACTGGCTAGGGATCTTTAGCGTGCACTTAAAAATGAAATGAAATTAATGAAGTTTAACGTCCTACTCTTCTACACCTAATTGGACTAATCAAGACGCTGTGCGGTTTGCAATTAGGGTAAATATTCAAGAAAGCGGCTTTAGCCTACATTTTTGATTTCCAACTGTCGAGGGATCTTAAACGTGTGGTAGACGGTGCCTAGGTCCCTGATAATCAGGCAAAGTCATGTTAGTCTCAATTCTAAGAGAAACGTCGCTGGCCTTGGGGGTCAAGGTTATAGATCAAGGACCAGGCTCAAAGATGTAAATGAAAATATGGTAATCCTGAACAAAACGAAGGGCGAACGTGAGAAATTTTCGAGACTCACGGTTGTCAGTGGTCTACACGGTCAATATTTTGGACAGTTTTGGCTACTATACAAATCAAAGTCGTAGTAAAACGTGGTCAATCATTGAGATAGTGTTCTAATTATTCAGTATTACTCATTATAATACAGCGATATGAATATTAAGTTTGCCTGTCAAATCGTTAATCCTGTTTGACCCCATGTTGACCTCTTCTAATGACAGGTGTCAATGTCAATCAACACCTATTTTGTTGTTGTTTGGTTTTTGTGTAATAATTTGGTTCAAGTGAAATGAAATGAGTTTTACGTCCAACTTAATGGGTTAATAAGCGGGAAATGTTATGCAATGTACAATGAGAGAAATTCTACCAGGACATCGGAATTAGCTCACTTTTTCGTAAATGTCGATGGATCTTTAACGTGCATAGCTTATAGCAAACAGGGCCTGGGTTTATTGTCCCATCCGAACGACTTTGTTATTTTCCAGGCCAGCCCCTCAGACTGGCGTCACTGATAGGGGTAACTATAACTTGGTTAAGGTTAATTTTGGGGACCGTTGGCTTAGTGAATTACTCACTGGAGTTCCCGGATCCAGGGTTATTGTGCTACAGGCCGCGCATGTTCAAGATCCCTCCACAGTTGGAAAAGAAAATAAGAGTAGGCTAAGGCAGTTGTATTGCCAAAATTTCCCCGAGTGCACACTGCAAGACGTTGTTCGCTGTCATTTCCAGTAAGTTAAGACATATAATAGTGGTTGCATTGGGTAAAAAAATGTGGTAACTCTTTCTTTGCGTTGTCAATTACGGTGAAACGGGTTATTTCCCTTGTACACGTTAACGTCTCCACAAAGTCAAGCTATTACAAACTTACGTCTTATACCTTGACTACAATCGTCACCTTGTATCACGGAGGTTTGTTAATGCAATGATTTGATTGGGTTGTACGCTAGTCAATATAGCCAATCGGACCCATTGACAGAACGTCTGTAAATAATTGGAGACACGGAAATTCTGTTTAAGGTGTTGATATCCCACAGTAATGCGACAGTGGAAAAGAAAGTTAAAGTCGATTTTTTTAATCAAATCAGTGCGATTGAGAGACAACACCGACAGCAATGGTCGAGAACATACCATCACAGGAAAAAAAAACACATCTGATATTTAATTTTTTTTTTTAGATTTATTGTACGTCTCCCAAATATTGCTGCACCGTGACACAAACTGTAAGAGAAAAGGGTAAAATATTTTTTAAAATTTTTCAAACAGAACAATGTCATAGAACGACGACCGTTCCCTTCTTTGGCGGAAAATTATAATTGACTTCACAAAATATCAACAAAAACTCATTAATTGCTGAACACTGGGAGAAGGGATTTATCCAACTAGATACTGTTTTTAAAAAGCTCGTGCACCCTCGCTCTTTAACAGAATGTAGCAGCATAAATTTACGTTTTCACTTTACAATCTGAAAAAGGCCAAAATCAGCTATGCGTATCACTTGTTAAAACTAAAGTCTGACTTCTGATTCGTCTACAATTCAATAAAACGTAGTCGAAAATTCAGAACTTTAGTATCATTTTACCATGCAGATTTCATGTCAGAGGCGGGCGCCGTTCGTTATGCAAGATGATAGAATGATAAAATTCGATTTCAGCCATTCGTATCACTTTGGAAAATGAAGATCAGACATCATATTTGTCAACAATTAAAACCAGGCTGCTGAGGATACTTACTACAAATTCGGACAGTAAGTATCAATATATACAGAAATCATCAAAGGCATGTGTTCCTCCTCGAACACCCGATGTCACTGTGCAACGGAGCCATCGCGTACTATCTTTCGGGAGTTCTAAAATCTAAAAGACTTACCTAAGCTACAGGCATGCAATTAAGAAAAGCTTTGCATTCGCCTCTAAATCCTTCTTGACATTGACAAACTTGGCATCCAGAGGGGTCCATTGGCATCCATTCATTTACGTCATATTGTTTACCATTGGCCTTACAGCCTTTCCTTTTACAGCAACAGCTATCATCAGTCCACTGAAATATTAATGGGATAAAGAATTTTGGGAGTAGTGACGTCACAATTTCTTACTTTTGTCGAGAAAAACCACCATTCGTAAAACCCTTAGGACCTACAGATTATTATAGCAGCTGGCTTTGCAACGACTGCAAGCAGCTTGCGACAGCTCGGGAATTTGTCCCGACGCTCGATTTAGTGGACCCAAGAGACCGAAGCGAATTCCTGTTGCCGTCAGTTGCTTTTTCGATGAGTGTACTTCGCTCATGTTGCCTGCGACGTACATGAATACGAACTGTTACTCTCTCTACAACAAAAGATTCGTAAAATACCCAAACTTTAGAATTCGGTAATCCCCGACAGTTTTAGCTATTGCAAAACGCACGCAGAACTTTCACGGTAGACCGTTCGAAACGTTAGTGCGCACCCTCCACCATAACGACGTAAAACTTTATTTCATTCCAAAGTGATAAAGCTCACCTCAAGACAGGAATGTCGTAATAAAGAATCGTAAGGAATGTCACATTTCGGTCCACCACTACATTCAATCTTTCCGCTCTTGCATTGACATGTGTCGCATCTTTGCTGCCATTGTTCGCCTTCCGGTCGCATATACAGCGCGTCGAAATCGCGATCCATGCAGTCTGCTGCGACATTCCGCAATGCGCACACCAGTACAGTTAAACACAGTGTTACTATAAATGTCATGTTCACTTGTATAGGTTCTTATTGCAAATCAATGAATACTCGAATTTGATCATTTTATACGTTATTATGCTAAATAGTTAAAGTGATTCGCTCGTCTAATCAAATGTTAGGTTTAGAATAAAATTCAATTCGAAAGTTTTCGTTGTCAGTTTAAAAAAAATCTATGTGATAACATCAATTTGCACCATTTCTATTTTCAATCAGACGTCTGTGGTTAATGCAATTCCACTATAACTTTATGACGTCACTAATCCTTATGTGATAAAGTATATTTTACGATTAGTGACGTCATCAAACGCGGAATTGTAAGATCCACAGATGCCTGTTTAAGGATTGGAATGGTGCATATTGATGCTATCATTGTCCCCGATACACATAAAAAATCTAGAAAGCTCCTCTACAATCCCTTTAAGGTAAATCGTAAAGATTGATGGGGGTTGATCAAGGACCGTCTGGTAGACAGGATCCTCGAAAACCTAAGTTGATATCCTTAGATTACTAGGATACTAGTTTTAAACAGCTTATCCAGATTAATCTAAATAGCCCACGGCATAAACCATAGGATGTAAAACTCCATTTCAATTCATGTTATGGTCATTGTGTCTTAAGGGGCATTCCTTAAACAACGAAGGTTTTAAATAGCTTTGGGTTCGTCCAATAGCTTTCCGCACAGGCTTAGGACAAGACATTTCAACGACATTGCGCTAAAGTGAATGACCACAGGGAGCCGCGGAGGCTCAGTGAGTTAGACGCTTGCTCACTAACCTGAGTGTCTAGGGTTCAATCCCTGCATAGGTCTAGATAATACCTTCAGATTTTCAACCTGGTTTCCCCCTGTCAGTGATGCAGGTAAGATGGACTGACATGGAAAAAGCGTCTAGTCGTTCGAATGGGGCAATAAACCGAGGCCCCGTGTGCTACAGGCTGTACACGTTAAAGATCCCTTGTTGACAGTTGGAAATCGAAAAAGAGCAGGCTAATGCTGCTGTGCTGGCAAAATTTCCCCTCATTGCATCCTACATGGCGTTGCCCGTTTTCATTAGCCCACATGGTGCAGAAAAGTAGGACGTAAAACTCCATTCATTTCATTTCATTTCCAAATGGTCATATACCTTAAATTACTTAATCGTTAAATTAGCGAGGAAATGGAAAAATAGACACGAGCTGTGTGTTAGAATGATTGCTTTTAAATTGAATGTCAACTTTTATCAGAATGTGATTAATATCTTCTGCGAGCTCCGATAACGGTTGCGACTGCGGGAGCCGTAATTATTGTCCTACGACGGAAGGTCAAGCACTTTAGTACATGCAGTGCGTTTGGTACATTTGGTTTTAGAAGAATTCAAAAAAAAGTTTTCGAATTGACATGTGTATAGTGGTTCGGATGAGACAATTAACTGAAGTTCCAGACTACGACTGCGGGGGACAATTATTACAGCTCTACGACATACGGTCAAACTTGCCTTGTACCTAGTGGTATGGTATCACTTCCAGTGGGACGTCTGTAGTTCCTAAAGTCCGAACTTATTATATGTCGCAGAAAGCATGTACGGTTGATAAATTCCTATAGTAATGTTTTGTTTCAATAAGTTTATGTCCAACTGATTGCAGGAGCGATCTATTCTAACCTTTGATAACCTTTATATACTGGTAGATTAAGCACAAGCCCGACCAGTTTTCAGAGGTTAGGCCAACCCTTAATTAATTTTACTGTTATTTCAAATTGAAACTGTCATTAACATATGCTATATTGGCATGCGAATTAATTAATCTTTTTTTTTGATCAATTACTCTACGTCAACACTGAAACTGCCGAATTAATTGTAGTTCATGTAATTTTACACAGTCTTGTATTATTGCATTGAGCCCATCCCATTCTGCCGACGCATGTTTCGGATAATCGATCCGACTATATTGAGAATGCAAGGCGACTCCACCCCCTTTTAGAACTGAGAATGCCCCCCCCCCCCTCCCCCTCACCCACCACACGACACTCACATTTCGTATTACTTAGTTCTTAAAGCCTGGAGCTGACAGTCCCCTTGACAATATTGTAGCCCCCTTCCCCTCTCTATCGAATGAATCCAAGAAACGCTTCTGGCTAGTTTTTGGAAAAGCTGGTTCAGGCGTTTGTGTCAGTTACATGAAAGTCCAGAGGAAGACTGACATCTAAATAACCCTATGAACTGAATAGTGCAGATTCATTCGGCAATCTTCGGTAGTTTCCGCAAAGCCGAGTCTGGTGTAGAACGCTAGTAGAACTTTTACGACAGGCCGTTTGCAAGGCGCTAGCAGAACTTTTTACGGCAGGCCGTCTTACAGCTCTAACTATAAATACAAAAGTCTTGGTATTTATTTTTATTTATAATGATTTTCCATATAATGATGAATAAATAATAATGATTTGATATGTGAGTTCAACATATTAAATAACAATGCCATAAAATTTGTGATTTTGTTTGATCTTTATCACCCTGATATGATTCGCAGATTCACATTTCCCAAATGATGAAAAACTTGTGGTCACAATTCGATACGATAGTAGTGTCTGAGTTCAGTAATCCTTGAAAAAAAAATCTTTCGTTTCGTTTCATTTGAATTCCATGGGTTTACTAAAAGTTTGGAATGATTACCACAGAACGAAACAATGTCTAGGCCGTTTACAAATCACTGAAGAAAAATTAAAAGGCGCTATTCATATATTGGTTATAGTTTTGTCTCGTGATCTTTCGTTTCGTTTCATTTGAATTCCATTGGTTTACTAAAAGTTTGGATTGTTTATCACAAAACTAAACAATGTTTCGGTAGCCTGTAACAGTTTATAAATCGCCGACGAAAATCAAAAGGCACTAATCAGAGATCGGTTATAGTTTTGTCACGTGATTTTCTTGTTTTGTGTCGCCATTGACAACGATGTCCACTTCAAGAATGTCTTCGTCGTTTTGTTTTAAAGATTTTTTACATAAACTGTACGTTATAGCTGTTATCATCGTGTGACTCACTACATTTGTCTGCGATCTAAGTCTGTCTCTGAAAATAAAATAAGGGAGGTAATTAAAATCTAAGGATAAGGGAAGTAACCCTTCAACAATAAACGTCAATGAGTCGAACTATTTAAGATTCTTTAGACAGACTAAACCGGACAAAGCATTGGTATGTTGCTAGGCAACATGTTCACGTCCACCTCCAGCAGAAGCTGTCACCAGACACAAGCAAGAAACGTAATGTACTTACAAAAACCATTCAACGGCAAACATTAGCGCCACCTGTGTAATTGGTATATTGAGTGACGTCAGAACTATAATCAACGTAACTATACTAGCACTGGGGAGTGATGGGATAGCTGAACCGCAGACAGACGTCAATATTCTGAAATGAGGCGAAAGTTATGGCCGCTGGCAGGTTGGGCAGATGTCCGACTGTATTAGTGCTCTAGACTGGATAGCTGCAAATTCTGTCCGTGGGGTAGTCAAGATCTAATTTTAGACTGAAACAAAATGTCTCGACATTTTTCGTAATGTGGACTCTCTTTCGGCAATAAATGGTATATTTCATTGTGCCTCCTTGAGCGACGCCATTTACTTCCGGCAATTCACAGTTTGTTTGCGATCTGAAAGACACTGCCCCTATAATTTATGCCGTTAACTTCTCTCGTCGATATGTCAGAGTTCAATCAGAGAATTTTTACGACAATAACGCATGCTTATTGCTTATTCTTGGAATATAGACTTGTTGGTTCAATGGTTAGATGTGAACAATCTCGTTTTACCTTGAAAATCAAAATGGATACCTACACGATAATGGCGGATTGAGCTGGTGTGACGGTTCCTAGAGACAACTGTATTATGAACACTGCAGCACATGTGATGTATATAACGCTACCGTCAGCGTTTAACGTAACGCAAAACGGTATGGTAAAACGTGACACTCTCCGATCTACTTTTTCCTTGTCGCAAGCTACCAACATCTCCGGAATGGCTACGGCTCTGAAATTACAAATTAATAACAAATAGCCAGTGCTTTCGTTTCGATATGTGGCCAATCATTGATTGTATTAAGACTGGATTGTTCGGTCTACTTTTGTGAAGGAAGTAAACGGCGTATCCAGTAATTTTGCTATCGATTTGCACCCATTTTCGTTCTATACGTATTTTTTCATTTGCTGAGTTCGACCATACCAATAAGATTCACTGAAACAGATTATTACATTAATGTCGTTCTGATTGGCAATAAGTTCATTTGAATGGGAACGTAAGGGAGTTGGCTTAGCAAGGGCTAGATATTAACCAACTCGTACCGCCTTGAGAAATCCTATTGCACAATACTTACGTGCTGGTGGAAGCAAATCCTAATAAAATAGCTCGGATTGTCGATAACATAAACTTGAATGGATTCCTCCGCATGAATATAATGAATATAACTGGTAAAATGATAAATTGATGAATTATTAGTCCGACCACTACGCACACAACAAATAGTCCCAGTCGTGAAAATACACCGGCAATGTCCTCAACCGGCGCGATCGATACTGCCACTAAACTTGCGATTCCAATTGGTCCAGCCCTGAAAAAGAAATGAAATAAATTTTCTTTACAATGTCAAACTATTGCTTGATACTTATACCTTGACTGCAATAGTCAGACAAAAAGTCTGTGCAAAACCACAATATTTACCGTCTTTCTGTCGAAGGCTCTGATTGGCTGTATTCGCTGACGTACAATCCAATCAAATGGCTGCATTGCGTGATACAAGAACGGTTAGTTATAGCTTTTCCCATGCTAACCATCGAGTGTGTGTCTTGAATTATGTTCTGTGATAGTGACGTCATGATGTTCTAGTCACGATTTTCGGGAATAACACGTATAGCAGGAACCATAGGCGTCAAACGCAATGGGGGCAAATATCATTGTACGAGTATCCGATATGTATACAATTGTTGCAAATACTTCCTTTAAATCCCTTTAGAGATGTTGGCTGAATATGCCTCGTATCAAATCCAATATGGCCACCAAAATGCCGGAGTTGCGTTAAAGCAAGGGGAGATTATAAAGTAGCTTACCAGAAGAAATTACGAAGTATGAATAAAATAAGTTCAGTTGCACCAACAAAAAATTGTAGAAAAATTTCAGCCTTCTTTTTGAGTTTACTGATAGCTACACCAAATACCGTACTTATCGTTATAAGACCTAACAAAGAAAGAAAAGCAAAATATCATTATTGATGCAATCATACCCCACCCCCTCCAAAATTTCACTTTTTTAAATAGTCTATCGAACGTTAACCATCGATTTTAAACGTTTTGCGCCCGCCCATGTTCATTGGGCTAGCTACAGGCCTGTCATAATTGTAAAAATTTGACCAAAATCAGTTATCTCTTCGCGCGAATAGATAAGGTAGAAATTGAATCCACAAACCTAAAACATTAACACCGCCAGTCGAGCCATTACTTTTAGATATCGTAACTACTACATCAATAAAACTTCCATTGGTGCTATTTCTGGTCACATTTTCTACTGTTTTTTCATATTGTGTCTGGGCCTGAAAATACAACCGTAACCCTTATCAAAACACAGAAAATAAGGGCGCAGGTCGACTGGGATCCGCTGCAATCAACCTGATCGAACGTTTATAGACGCTCGATTTTAATTTTGAAAAGTGTTACGGAAAGCAGATATTTACACGACTATATCCCCATATTGAAAATTGATTTAAAACATTGACTAGTGTCAATTCCGCCAGTGCACTTTTATCTAATTGTAGACGACTTCAAATTGTTATTCTATAAAGTGTTACTGGTCACTGAATTCCGGCGACTGTATTCCTTTACGACGGTTTTTATTTTGTGAATTATTCTATACCTGTTTAAAGGCTGTTTCCACCAAATTATTAGGTATAAGATTCCTGAAAATAAAAGAATACAGATTAAATTCGAGGTTTCCTTATTAAAGGGACATAATTAGTAAAACAAGACCACAATACATTCAATATTTAAGGGACATAACTAATAAAAAAGACCACAATATATTCAATATTAAAGGGACATAATTAGTTAAACAAGACCACAATACATTCAATATTAAAGGGACATAATTAGTAAAACAAGACCACAATACATTCTATTTTAAAGGGACATAACTAATAAAACAAGACCACGATACATTCAATATTAAAGGGACATAGCTAATAAAACAAGACCACAATACATTCAATATTAAAGGGACATAATTAGTAAAACAAGACCACAATACATTCAATATTAAAGGGAAATAATTAGTAAAACAAGACCACAATACATTCAATATTAAAGGGACATAACTAATAACACAAGACCACAATATGTTTAATATTAAAGGGACATAACTAGTGAAACAAGACCACAATACATTCAATATTAAAGGGACATAACAAGTAAAACAAGACCACAATACATTTAATATTAAAGGGACATAACTAATAAAACAAGACCACAATGCATTCGATATTAAAGGGAAATAACTAATAAAACAAGACCACAATGCATTCAATATTAAAGGGACATAACTAATGAAACAAGACCACAATACATTTAATATTAAAGGGACATAACTAATAAAACAAGACCACAATGCATTCGATATTAAAGGGACATAACTAATAAAACAAGACCACAATGCATTCAATATTAAAGGGACATAACTAATAAAACAAGACCACAATGCATTCGATATTAAAGGGACATAACTAATAAAACAAGACCACAATACATTCAATATTAAAGGGACATAACTAGTAAAACAAGACCACAATACATTTAATATTAAAGGGACATAACTAATAAAAAAGAGACCACAATACATTTAATATAAAAGGGACATAACTTATAAAACAAGACCACAATACATTCAATATTAAAGGGACATAACTAATAACACAAGACCACAATATATTTAATATTAAAGGGACATAACTAGTGAAACAAGACCACAATACATTCAATATTAAAGGGACATAACAAGTAAAACAAGACCACAATACATTTAATATTAAAGGGACATAACTAATAAAACAAGACCACAATGCATCCGATATTAAAGGGAAATAACTAATAAAACAAGACCACAATGCATTCAATATTAAAGGGACATAACTAATGAAACAAGACCCCAATACATTTAATATTAAAGGGACATAACTAATAAAACAAGACCACAATGCATTCGATATTAAAGGGACATAACTAATAAAACAAGACCACAATGCATTCAATATTAAAGGGACATAACTAATAAAACAAGACCACAATGCATTCGATATTAAAAGGACATAACTAATAAAACAAGACCACAACACATTTAATATTAAAGGGACATAACTAATAAAACAAGACCACAATACATTTAATATTAAGGGAAATAACTAATAAAACAAGACCACAATACATTTAATATTAAAAGGGCATAACTAATAAAACAAGACCACAATACATTTAATATTAAAGGGACATAACTAATAAAACAAGACCACAATACATTTAATATTAAAGGGACATAACTAATAAAACAAGACCACAATGCATTCAATATTAAAGGGACATAACTAATAAAACAAGACCACAATACATTCAATATTAAAGGGACATAACTAATAAAACAAGACCACAAAACATTCAATATTAAAGGGACATAACAAATAAAAACCAAGACCACGATTCTGAAATTTTATGCCGTTACTGTACTTACCGAAATAAATCTGCAAAAATATCCTGAGTTTCTATTAAATTCTCCCTGATATCATCGGCGTCTGTGCTCTCTCCACCAACACCTTGAAATAAAAGAAATGTAATCCTTGCTTTAAATTCCAGTACGAAAAAGCTTTCATTGATTTATCAATGGTAATCGGAGTATTCGATATGAAATCCTTGATCCAACAAGCCCATATCCGCATCATATAATTTGGTTGGACGACGATCGTGCATTTTTCCTCAGCTTGTGTGTAAGTAAATGTAAGTAAGATCTTGTTCATTCGTGGGGAAAAGTTTAAATTCAAACGTTTTTTTATAAACCTTGTTGCTCACTCGTGTGAACAGGTACATGTGGTGAAGTATTTGAGATTTTGCCGGTCAACTGATATGTAGTTATCATGTATTCACCAAAGCCTGATCTTCCCACACGTATCTGTGGTGTGCGGGTAACAAAAAAGCTGTCGTCTTAGAGACAAGGTTGTGATGTTCCTTCCGGAATACCTGATACCTCTTTACGACTGAGTTTTCAACCCGACATTTAGAGGGTCCACATATCACTTGATATTTACCTGGTTTTATAAGTATTGATAAGACCACCCCTATAGTACAAGCTATCAGATGAGTCACAACAATAAAACCTATGGCGATTAAACTTATTTTTCCATTTGATTTTGGGTCCATTGAGGCCGCACCTGAAATATTAGAATTACGAAAATCGAGTCAGGCAGAGAACATCCTTAAAGTGTAAAGGGCAAAATCATTATATTAGCCGACCTTACAAGACGAGATACGAAAGACAAAACCACGATTTCGCGGATATGCGAATACGCATCCATGCGTTCAAATATTAATATTTGAGTACAATTTCAGCTCCCCGTACCTCTTTTCCGTATGGAATTCTGACTTCTGTCTGTAATTTCAGAAATAGTTAGGAGAGACTTCAGTCTAAATTTTTCGGTCGTTATTAGTTAATAACATTTGCAAGATCATTAATTACCAATGAGTGCTGGACAATTACAGTAACAATATAAAAATGTTGGCACAACACGAAAATAGAAAATACTTATAGTTCGTCTACAATTTAAATAGATAACATACCTGAGATAACACTACAGACAATAAGAGGAACGATTAACATCCGTAACATTCTTAGAAACAGTTCACCGGGGAAACCTGCGAAAAGATGAAAAGAAATGAAGTTTGAAGTGTCACTTTCCTGCTTCAGACTGGATTTATGCATAGCGTCAACACTATGCGGTGTTCAATGGGGAAACTTTCCAAAAGAGTGGTATAAGCTTATTTTCGATAAGAAGCAGAGCATCCAAAGAGTGCTATCCCGCATGCCAATTATTACGACCTTCATTACCAACTCGGAGATAGCTGGTGCGGCTAGCGAGACAAAAGTTGTGCTTACCTTCCTCGAACACACGATCGTCGATATCCAAAGCTTTAAAAAAAGGGGGAGGGGGTGAGGTTTTTCAAGGGTGGGGAGGGTGGGGTCAACTATTGACTCGACAGGCATAGGCGTGAGAGCTGGGGGAGGGGGTTGCAAGGGCAACAACCCGAAAGCAAGTAAGAATACAAATAGTTTTCGTGGATACATTTCGGTCAATCCAGCCTGCCCCTTGCCTAAGATGACTTCCAAAAGGATTTTATCTGGTACTCACCAATCCACATGAGAGCATCCTTTGAGGGATGTACTTCGCGGAGTCCAAAACCTAGTGCCAGGCCAATTATAATACCCAGCACGTTCAATAACATCAACGCATTGTCTTTGAAGAATATCTTAAATCGGCTTTGTTTGACTTCCATCGTCATTTTCGTCAGTGGTTCTTTCTCTCGGATAGAATCTGGAATGGTATGATAAGAATTAATTCCAAAAGCTCCTGTTCGGTGACGACCTTAGAAAAATGTTGCAAGTTTTTGGGGCCTTTTTGTTATGAAATTCATTTAATTAAAAATGGAGAGTACTTACTGTTAATTAAGCAGTTTGACTTAGTTTTAGTGTTTGGCTTTTAAATGGCTCAATATTTTTAGTTGAAACCTTTAAGAATATATAGGAGACATATTTCTCTGAATTTATTTAGTTTAAACTGTCAGATATGAGAAAGGGCACAAATCTCTAGATTTGGTGTATAGTTTTGATAAATATGAGCAAAAAAAAAAAAAAAAAAAAGAATTGGCCTACAACATCTCACCAGGTCACACTGTCACTGGGTCAAAAGAAGCTACAAGCTACCTGAATGAGAATTAACCGTTAAATTTTTGAAGGTAAATAAACGCTCTATAGGTTTCATCTTACACTTTGTAAACACTTTGAATACTATAATATACGACGTTACTTATATATAGATATACTTAGAAACTTTATATGAGGAAATTTTAAGACTTTCTAAAACCTATTACTTATATATGGATCATCGAAATCCCTTGAAAGCTTGATAGCAGATAGCTTTCCTTATCACTTTTTAAATCAAAATCTGACTTCTAGTTCTTTGACAATTAAAATCAATACGTACATGGATTGTTGTGGGGTATATATTTTCTTATTAAAAAATAATTATAAACAATGCCCGAAAATATATTTTAATATTCAAAATATTCAAATTTTTGTAACCGTACTGTACCAATGTATTTCGAATTTTAAGTTTCGTTTTGCGATTCGTATCCTTAGTAAGCCTTTTGATATTCCTGTATGTGGTTATTCGAATTCTTATTGCTTCTTATTTGATTGTGCATAGCTTACAGCTGACAAATGACATAAGCAAAGTTTTTGATTATAAGCATGATAATGCATATTTTAACAAAGATATTTGCCCTACCTCTCTTAGTTTGTTGTTGTCCGTGTGAAACAGTCCACTCTATTCGTGAATATATGCAAATATTTGATATAGGCCGATATAAATAAGCCCCCTACAAACCATATAACATTTGTCACTCGCCGTCTTCACAATGTCAATCTATGACAAACTTCGTCTTATACCTTGAATGCAATAGCCACCTAAGCTTTCTTGTATTTCTAAACCTTAAAATTATATTGTATTCCGTCGTACTTGTGATTAATCATCGTCACAATGTCAAGCTATGACGATCTTCGTTTTATACCTTGACTGCAATAGTCACCTTTTTGTATCATTGAATTTAGCGATTTGATTGGATTGTGTGTGAGTGAATACAGCCAATTGGAGTCCTCGAAAAAAAGTTTGTAAACAATAAGTCATAATGTTTACAGTCTGTTTGTCTAGGGCTATGATTGGCTGTATTCAATCTTGAATGTGTCCAATGATGTCAAGGTATAAAACGAAGTTCATTATACCTTGATATTGTGAAGATGGTCTATATATACATCTAATTGTAGAAAATATCTCCCACGTGTCCTAAAAGGATTAAACTTAAAAATATTGAATCTTTATCGTCAATTATGCGTCAATTAAATTTCAGTCTCCAATCCTCGGCCGTTTCCGTAAAGCTGAATCAGTCCCGCAAATGAATGGTGAATATAGTCGTGTCTTCTTAGACGAGACACTTTACTTCCGGTATTTAGCAGTGATTTCGCAAGTGATAGTAATATTATAACCTCTAATGTTTGCAGTAGCGGAGCCAAGTTTACATCAGAGGGGGTGGGGGGATTTTTGCCCGAAAAACTTGTTTTCGGGGCTGCTAGGGTGGTGGCTGTCCTCTGTGCCCCCGCCTTTGGCTCCGCCACTGAATGTTAGAATCACGTGATTAGGTAACAGTATTGGCATAGTTCCGGCAAACTATGGCTGTGATTAATTACCGTGATATGCTGCAGAGCGATAGCGTAAGTTTCACTGTAGGCCGTTTTGGTAAGGGACATATTTCTCTGGGTTAGGGAAAAGGGTTTTATAAATTTGGTCAAAATAATTTTCGATGTACAAAAAAATCATAACGCCCTTTTAAAGTGCATGTGCAGGTCTACTTTTTACCATAGACCCTGTCATATATTTAAGTCACTCTCTTGATTATAAGATAAGGTTTGATTTGGTAGGTACTTAGTTTCACATTAGGTTACGAGTGCCATCAAGGGGTTTGGGGAAAAAGTCTGAATCTTGCGAAAAGGTGAGAGGAAGAATATAGGAAATAATGGAAAAAAAAGAAGTTATTTAAAAGAAAGAGTGTAAGAAAGAGTGTGAGAGTGGGGGTAAAAGAGCAAGAGAAAAAGAAGATAAGAGTAAGAAAAGAGAATATAAGGAGAGTGTGTGAGAAAAAAGTTTAAGAAATGTGTGAGAAAATGAGTGTGAGAAAATGAGTGTGAGAAAATGAGTGTGATAGAAGGAGAGTAAGAGAGGGGTGAGAAGAGCAAGAGAAGGGAAAATTGAAAGAAAGAGATCAGAACAAGAGCAAAGTGTACGAATGAGAGATAAGAGCAAGAGAAAAGTGTAAGAACATAGTGATTGCATCATGCAAGACAGCCGTATTTTATAAAGAGACACCAAAATGAATTGAACAATGACAAAGCTAAACTTAAAGTTGTGTTTCCGTGGGGTAAACTATGGCTGCGATTATTTACCGTGATATGCTGCAGAGCGATAGCGTAACTTTCACGGTAGGCCGTTTTGGAAAGGGACATATTTCTCTGGGTTAGGTAAATAGGTTTTATAAATTTGGTCATAAAAATTTTCGATGTACAACAAAATCATAACGCCCTTTTAAAGTGCATGTGCAGGTCTACTTTTTACCATAGACCCTGTCATATATTTAAGTCACTCTCTTGATTATAAGATAAGGTTTGATTTGGTAGGTACTTAGTTTCACATTAGGTTACGAGTGCCATCAAGGGGTTTGGGGAAAACGTTTGAAGCTTGGGAAAAGGTGAGAGGAAGAAGATTTGGAGAGTATGAGAAAAAAGGAAGTTATTTAAAAGAAAGAGTGTAAGAAAGAGGGGGGGGAGACAAAGATTAGAAGGAAAAAAGTAGCCTACAGAGTGTGTCTGATACGAAAGAGTGTGAGAGAAGGGGAGTAAGAGAAATGTGAGAAGATCAAGAGAAGTGAAAATTGTAAGAATAAGAGATAAGACCAAGAGAAAATTGTAAGAATAAGAGATAAGACCAAGAGAAAATTATAAGAATAAGAGATAAGACCAAGAGAAAATTATAAGAATAAGAGATAAGACCAAGAGAAAATTGTAAGAATGTGAGATAAGACCAAGAGAAAATTGTAAGAATGAGAGATAAGACCAAGAGAAAATTGTAAGAATAAGAGATAAGACCAAGAGAAAATTATAAGAATAAGAGATAAGACCAAGAGAAAATTGTAAGAATGTGAGATAAGACCAAGAGAAAATTGTAAGAATGAGAGATAAGACCAAGAGAAAATTGTAAGAATGAGAGATAAGACCAAGAGAAAATTGTAAGAATAAGAGATAAGACCAAGAGAAAATTATAAAAATAAGAGATAAGACCAAGAGAAAATTGTAAGAATAAGAGATAAGACCAAGAGAAAATTATAAGAATAAGAGATAAGACCAAGAGAAAATTGTAAGAATGAGAGATAAGACCAAGAGAAAAGTGTAAGAATGAGAGATAAGACCAAGAGAAAATTGTAAGAATGAGAGATAAGACCAAGAGAAAAGTGTAAGAATGAGAGATGAGAACAAGAGAAAATTGTAAGAAAAAAGTGGAAGAGATAAGAGCAAACGAAAAGTAAACCT